CCCCAAAACCCCAAAACCCCAAAACCCCAAAACCCCAAAACCCCTTATCAAAATGTAAAAATTGAACTTATTCATCACCCTTATTAACAAACGTCCTTAGATAAAATTCCACGAACATGGCTAAGGAGGATAAAGCAGGTTGTTCATTGATAAAGAAGGTGTTCCTCAGTTTGACCTCTATTCTTGAGACCTTTATTGGTATCATCAGAATCAAAGAATTTACTTTGACTATCAATAATTTGCTTTTATCCAACATCATGTTCTTTATATTCAATGTCATCTCTATGGAGTTGAACTCTTGTTTTTCCCCACATATTTTCATGATAGAATTTGCACTAACAGCTACTTTAAATAATTCTTTCATGATCTTTTCCTTATCAGGCTCATTCCTGAAGTGTCTGGAATTTTTAAACTCTACAAAATCATTCTTAAGCTGGTCCTTCTTACTCTTCTCTTCTTCAACACTATACTGGCTTTTATCAAGTTTATGCTCTTCAATTTCTGAGTCTTCAAGATCAATATCAAAATTGTAAAGCATCTTAAGCACATTGTTTTTAATTTCAAGCTCTTTCAGAATGCCTTCAGACCTCCTCTGAATCTCCTTATTGTACTTCTGACTGACAGTGTCGAACATCTTCTTGTGGTAAGAGTTCTTCTCGTAATTGCCATTGAAAGCAGAGAAAACACTGTCTTCATCAGAGTTATAAGCAAATTCTATCTCAGGATCTGATTCCTGGTTCTTCCCAATATTCGATAAACCCGGATTCTTTGAGAAATGAGTGGAATTAAACGAATGTTTCTTCTTCTCCCCTCCGGGGCTCGTCGCCTCAGGTTGTAAGTTGATATCAATATCTGAAGTATGAACAAGAAACAGCCAAGGAATGATCACATTCTGAGACCCTAAGTTCAAAAATAGCCTCTTCACCATATCAGAGATGGTATCTTCATAAATTGTTGTCAGAACCCAGTCGAAACTTTTGTAATTCCTAGCCACGATGTCCTTTTCAAGCTTCTTCTCATACTTATGAGCGAAAATTTCAATGATTTTGTTAGCTAATTTCTCTGCTATTTTGCGATCGAAAGTATCACTATCATAAAACAGAGCAATTAGAATATTAAATTTTGAAAATTTATCTATAACAAAGCTGACTCCTTCAGATTCAATGCCTTTGAACCCTTCCTGGAGCTGAGCCTCGATCAGTTCATCAGCTGCTTCGCCTAAGTTTTCCCGAATTTCCTCTGCCATTTCCTCCACAAGCTTGATGTTGGTGAAGAGGTAGCTTGCCAAGTTGACAGGATCTGTTATACTAACTGGGCCTATATCATGAATAAGACTTTAGACTTAGGATGGCTTACTTGTGCCCTCATCTTCATTTGAATCACTCTTAAATCCGAACCCTGGCACATATTGTTTGTGGTAGATCTGCATACCAGTGTCAAGATTGACGATGATAAAGCCATTCATTTTTGAATTCTTTATAATTTTCTATAATATCTCACCCAAGTGGGGTTTTGGGGTTTTGGGGTTTTGGGGTTTTGGGGTTTTGGGG